CTGTGGTCCCTTCCCAGACTGCCAGCCCTGGCGATGCTATTTTCCCCAAACAGCAGTGGACCCTCCCAAAACTGCTTGCTAGGAGAATCTAGAAACTTTCTTCTTGGTGGAAAACCCATAAAAGAGTCACATGGAGTGAGGCAGGAGACCGAGGAGACGACTCCTTTGATCCCCACCAGTCGGGGCCCTTCTGCTTGCCTGCCCTTCGCACCAGCCCTGAAAGCGAGCTGCTCTCCCAGGGGACCTGTGGCCAGTTCCTCCCAGCCCCACCTTGTGCAGACAGATGACACTGGCAGCCGCAGTTCCTGAGACCAGGAGGTCACCAGGTGGCTGGAGGGAGTGCCCCCTGCTGGGACAGCTTCTTGAGAAGAGCAGGGGAGTGAGATCTTGTGCAAGACCAGGAAGGACAGGTGGCAAGGGGTCAGCACGTTGGGAGCAGGACTAGGAGATGTCCCATTGATCTGGGGGAAGCAAGAAGCAGGCCACCGCCAAGGTAGAAATGCATTTTCTAGTGAGTTCTGGATCCACACGCAGGAGCCTGTCAATGCCCTCAGGGACAATGGCAGCTAAGGCCTGGGAAGAGGGTCTACCAAAAGCCGAGCTGAGGACCTGAAGCCCTGCATCCAGCCTGGAGCTCCAGCTGGGGGCGTTCTGGATGCCTCCAGCCAGAAGCCCTTGGAGGTACCGAGCAGGACACAGCAAGAGGGCCACTGCCGTCTGAGTCAGCATCACCTCAGTCTTGCTTTAGGGAGAAACAAAGGTGCCTGACTTCACAGCGGGGTTATCACACGTGAGGGGTACAGTCATGCAGGCGCCCCTGCCCTCCATCACTCTGTCTCTCCTAGGCAAGTGGCTGGAAAGGGGACACAAGCAAAAGCAAAAGCAGAAGTCCTGTGCCTTCTGACAGCCTAGGGTCCTCCTGCAGACTCCTGGCAGCTGTCTGGGGCTAGGATGGCTCTCAGAGGGGCAGACGCCTCCTCCTCAGGTGCTGGGTCACAGGAAGGAAAGAGATGAGCTGAGAGGAGTTGGCATGAGCCAGCAGGGGTTCAGCGAGCGGGTGCTGAGCGCAGACTCAGAGGCTTTGACTCTCATACCAGAAAGTTCTCACTTTTTAAGTTAGACAATTGTCTGTCTTTATGTCTTTATATACAGATGCCTTCTGGATAGACAATTCTCCTCTGCTCTTTTGGCAAGGGAGGTGGTAAATTGTTCTCTTCTCTGCAGTTAGATAAGACTCCACAAGGAATCCTATCAGAAGACCCCTGTGAGGAAAAAGATGGTGTGTTCTGCCCATTGACCCCACCAGGGGCACTGAACATGGATCTAACTCATGTGACCATTCCCAGTCCTTTTTATTTTTTATTTGGAGACAGGATCTCACTAAATTGCTTAGGGTCTTGCTAAGTTGCTGAGGCTGGCCTCAAACTTCCAATCCTCCTGTCTCAGCCTCCCTAGGGGTGCACCACTGTGCCCAGCCCCACTAGAGGATTTCTGAAGTCATCCTTTCCATTCCCCTGCCTATGGGCTTTCCCTACCCCTTCAGGCTTTCCCAAGGGGGAAAAGATATTGTTACTTAGGGCTCCCATCTAGAAGATACAAACTGTCATTCTATGGAAGTTCTTTATCATGGCTAACTTAAACCCCTTTTGCTATAAGGAACAAACTAAAGACTACGGACAGGAACACATGCAAAAATAACCTCTGGAGGTCACCAGGATGCACCACTAGTTCTAGAAACAAAAAGAAGTCAGCCTGGACTCCTTCTCAGATAAGCTTGAAGGAGACGGCGCTGGTGTGTGCCGAGGAACTCGCCCCACAGAAATCCCAGGCCAGGGAGGACTCCGGGCTCCTTCTCCTTTTAAGGCAACATCTGAGCTCCCAGGGCTGCTCGAGCCGCAACAAGCCCCAGCCCCACTCATTCCTGGCTATTTGGAGGAAACTGATGATTAATCAGCCCTTTCCCCCTCCCCCACTCGGCCTGTTTTTCATTAGGTTCTTTTTAAAGGGTTGGCACACCTCCCCAGAACAGGCACTTGGCAGATCCTAGCCAAGCACGACCACAGCGGAGGGGAAGCACCTGAGAGGGAGTGGCCAGGAGTCCCACCGGAGGACAGAGGGCAGAGGTCAGGACCTGGGATGTAAGGGAGAAAAGTGTTCAAATGTGGAAAACAAGCCCTGGTTGGGAAGGGAGCGAAGGCTCTGAATGGGATCCCAGAGCCTGATGAGGTTTGGTCCCATGGACAGCAAGGGCACTCGGGGACCCAAGGGATCCTGGGCAGGCAGGAGGGAGAGCCTGGGCCCCTAATAGGAAGGTCGGAGGCAGTGACATTGACTTGGTGGCTGTTTTAGTCAGCTTTTTCATTGCTGTGACTAAGAGATCTGACCAGAACGATTGTAGAAGAGGAAAAGTTTATTTGAAGGCTCACAGTTTCAGAGATCTTAGTTCATAGACAGCCGGCTCCACTCCTCAGGGCTCGATTTGAGGCAGGACATCATGACGAAGAGTGTGGCAGAGGGAAGCAGCTCACGTGGTGACCAGGGAGCAGAGAGAGAGCCCGCTCTCCAGATACAAAACACATACCCCATGACCACGCTCCCAACTCCCACCTCCTCCAGCCACATCCACCTGCCTCCAGCTACCGCCCAGTTAATCCCATCAGGGATCAATCCACTGATTAGTTTAAGGCTCTCACAACCGGATCATTTCTTCTCTGAACCTTCTTGCATTGTCTCACATGTAAGCTCTTGGGGGACACCTCACATCCAAACCATAACAGTGGCTGTTCGTGAGACAATCAAGCCTAACCCTCAGTTTTTCCTGAACCTGCTGGGTGAAATTGGCTGTCATCTCTCTCTGGGTCCCCAGCTTCCCTCAGCACAGCCTGTGACTGAGAGGCATGGCATCTCTGCAGCGGACAGTTGGGCCGTGCCTGGTGGGCTCTGAGACATTCCACTGTGGACGCATTCTGGGAAGGGAAGGAGAGGGAGGCATGATATCTAGAGACCATGCCATCAGCTCTCACCGCCAAGCTCCAGGTGGATGGAACCACTCTGCATGTGGCATGGGAGGGGAGGAGATTCCCTGGTCACATAAGGGCAGATCATTATAAAAGTTCCCTAAAAGGAAACCCACTGGGTTTCCTCATTTACATCCTATTTGCATACTTCTTTACATACAGAAAAGTTATTACCACTTCCCATTCAGGGCAATCATAAGTGGCAAACTCAGTTCCTTGGGGGCCACAGTGAGTTGGGGGGGCTCTCGGTCCCCTGTTCCATCACCACAGTTCCAGGTGGAATCCCATGCATTCTAGAGCAGGAGGCAACAAGTGCCCTTTCCAAGGCTCTGTCCACCAGGCTCTGGGCCCCTGGGCTGCCTATTATGAGTCTAGCAGAAGAGCCAAGGACTTCTCTTGCCAAATACCCAGGGGCTGGTCTCCAATGGCATGTGTTTGTGGTTCCGGTACAAACTGTCTCCAAAGGGCCAACCTTGCCCTCCATTCCCTCTGGGACAAGGAGTGCCTTTCTTCCTTCCCCTTTTCCACACGCCACTGGGCTCTCTTAAAAGAAACCCTCCATGCTCAGGCCATGGTCTCTCAATGCGCCTTTAAGGAAGGTCCTCCTAGCATATCTTGGAGTCCCAGTTGGACAGTTAAATTTAATGCCGTATTGTAGGTAATCTGCTGCTTCCTCTGCTCCTGTGGTGGGGATGTGCACTAGGTCCTCTTGAAATAGCTCCGCGACTTCATGAAGCAAGAAATACCCCTCTCCCCCAGGGAGGTGCTGGGTGGCTGGTGGACACTCAAGCCTCCATTGTGTTCCCCTGACTCCATCCCACAGCCTCCCCAAGCAGCAGCCCACATCTGCATGGTCAAAGTGGAGTTGCAGAATCCTAGTGGACTCCAGGGCTACCTACGGGAGAGGCTTGACCTTAGCAAAATTTTTACTAAAAAATAAAGACTAGGGCTGGGAATGCAGCACAGTGGCAGAGTACTTGCCCAACATGCATCAAGCCCTGGGTTCCATCCCCAGCATTGCAATAAATAAATAAATAAGTAAAAGACAACACTGGGAACTTCTGAAGAGACACACGTGTTTTGCAATTTGCTGTAAAGGTACATCTTTTGGTCTGTTACCCACTTCTTAATAATTAGCTCCTTGTTTCAATGAGATGATGTTGCTAGGTAAAATTTATGAATATCCTTAATTGGTACAATGTTAGCAACCCTGTCTTGATTCTTTCAATTTCTTTTTTCTTTGTCAATGTACTGGCTTATAACATTCCAGTATCTGAGAACTGGTGACCTCCCCTTGGCAGCAGGGCTGGGACTAGGTATGAGGCAGTGTGAACTTGAGCACAGAACACAGGGGCAGAAGCCAAGTGAGGTGGCGCACACCTATAATCCCAGCAACTTGGGAAGCTGAGGCAGGAGGATTCCAAGTTCAAGACCAGCCTCCACAGCTTAGCAAGACCCTTTCTCAAAACAGAGGAAAAAGGACTGGGGATATAGCTCAGTAGCAGGAGCGCTTGCCTCGCATGTGCAAGGTTCTGAGTTCAATCTACAGCACTGAAAAAAAAAAATTCAAAACAGGATCAGTGTTGGTGATTTTTGCTTTTGCCTCAGGTGCTAACATTGTTAGAAGCAGTCCTTTTAAGGGGGTCAGAGGTGCCATGGGTAAATCATCCATGACAGAAAGGCAAATCTGGGTCTGAAGATGCTCTGGGAAAGAAACTGCGCTTGGTCCAAACCTCTGCAGGTGTTCTTTCTGGCATCTCATGACCCGTGGCGGAGTCTGACACTGGCCCGTTCTCTCCGATTGGAATCCCGCAAAGCCCCACTTCTGCTATTCTCTCAGGGACATGCCCATCACTCTCCCAAACACCCAGTGTCCTTCGGAGGCCCAAGGGCAGTTGTATAAGTGCTCCCTCGCTTGTCCTGTAACCCGCTCCTCTACTGAAGCCAGCTCTTCATGTTTATTTTTCTTTTCTGAATTCTTAGGAAAGCAAGCAAGTGGAGACCAGAGCCGATGCCAAGAATGGAGAGGAAAGGGGCAGAGATGCCAGCACAAAGGCCCTGGGCCCCAGACGGGACTCAGACCTGGGAAAGGAGCCAAAGAGGGGCGGACTAAAGAAAAGCTTCTCCAGAGACAAAGAGGAAGCTGATGGCAGGAGTGGGGAGAAGCCAAAGGAGGAGAAGGTGATCAGGGGCATCGACAAGGGCCGGGTCAGGGCTGTGGTGGACAAGAAGGAGGCAGGGAAGGATGGGAGAGGAGATGAGAAGACGGTGGCCGTCAGGAAGGAAGAGGAGAAGAGACGGAGTGACAGGAGTTCAGGCCTGATCAAGGACAAGGACAAGAAGAGCGAGGAGGTGAAGGAGCTGGCCAAGAGAGGGGACAGTGAGAAGGTAAAGGGGGACAGCAGGAGCACAGATGTGAGACGGGAGGACGAGAAGACAAAAAGAACCACTGGGGACACAGATAGGAAAAAGGAGGAGGGGGGGGCAAAAAGAAGAACCGAGGACAGGGACACGAAAAAGGAGGTTGAGAAAGTCCAGAGGGAGGAGTCCCCAAGTGAGAAGGAGGCCCAGGAAGAGAGCAAGACCAAGACAGCCGAGAAACAGGCCGCTGGAGGCCCCAGCCCCAGCAAACCCTCGGAGGGGCCCCCCAGGGCGGAGGAGGAAGCGGCCCCCAGCATCTTTGACGAGCCTCTGGAGAGAGTGAAGAACAACGACCCGGAGATGACGGAAGTGAACGTCAACAACTCGGACTGCATCACCAACGAGATCCTGGTCAGGTTCACCGAGGCCCTGGAGTTCAACACCGTGGTCAAGGTGTTCGCCCTGGCCAACACGCGCGCGGACGACCACGTGGCCTTCGCCATAGCCATCATGCTCAAGGCCAACAAGACCATCACCAGCCTCAACCTGGACTCCAACCACATCACGGGCAAGGGCATCCTGGCCATCTTCCGAGCTCTCCTCCAGAACAACACGCTGACCGAGCTGCGCTTCCACAACCAGCGGCACATTTGCGGGGGCAAGACGGAGATGGAGATCGCCAAGCTGCTCAAGGAGAACACCACCCTGCTCAAGCTCGGCTACCATTTTGAGCTTGCCGGGCCCCGAATGACCGTCACCAACCTGCTCAGCCGCAACATGGACAAGCAGCGACAAAAGCGGCTGCAGGAGCAAAGGCAGGCCCAGGAAGCCAGCGGAGAGAAGAAGGACCTGCTGGAGGTGCCCAAGGGAGGGGCCCTGGCCAAGGGCTCCCCCAAACCTTCACCCCAGCCATCTCCCAAGCCTGCTCCAAAGAACTCCCCAAAGAAAGGGGGTGCTCCAGCTGCCCCTCCCCCTCCTCCCCCGCCCCTGGCTCCACCCCTTATCATGGAGAACCTGAAGAACTCCCTCTCCCCAGCCACTCAGAGGAAAATGGGAGACAAAGTCCTCCCTGCCCAGGAGAAGAACTCACGTGACCAGCTCCTGGCCGCCATCCGCTCCAGCAACCTTAAACAGCTGAAGAAGGCAAGTTGCTGTGGGCGTGGCCACAGGGCAGGGTGCCCAGGGGCTGACAGGAGAGGGCAGTTGTAACAGGCCAGCATGCAGACACTCCTGCAGGTGCACCCAGACCCCGGGGCCTGCAGGTCATCTCAGCCATGCTCCTGCCCCCAGGCAGGCCACATCTGTATCTCCCTTACAGGTGGGACTCTATGCTTCCTTTAGCCTCGCCCTCCACACCTGGAACTCCTTCACCAGCCATCAAACCTGTTCCTCCTGCTAATGGAGAGGCAGCCTCCACACATGGAGTGTTGCTGTGGCTCTTCCTCTAGGTTGTCTTCTCCTTCCCCCCAAAAAAAACTGGAGATATTGAACCCAGGGGCTCTTTGTCACTGAGCTATCTCCCCAGTCTTTTTTATTTTAAAAAGGTCTTGCTAAATTGCTTAGGCTGGCCTCAAACTTGGGATTCTCCTGCCTCTCATCCTCTGGGCAGGAGGAATTATAGGCCTGTACCACTGCACCTGGCTTCTTCCCCCGAGTCTCCTTTTCTCCATTTCCCCAAACAAAAGTGATACTGGTTTTATGTAATCCCCTCTCAGGATCAGCTCAGTTCTATGGGTCAGTCTATCCCAAAGGTTTGCCCTCAGTATAGTTTATCTTTGACTAACCAGTGCAATGGACACATGGATCATCCCCGGGCACCCTACTTCTCATAGTCCTGCCTCCCTGGATGACAAAGTCCATCGTCATTTGCCTGTCTGAGTGAATATCCTACTCTCACATTATTTGCCACTGGACACCATGAGATAAAGGACAACCTCACTTATAATTCTAGTGGTCATCTGATGACATCCAGGTTTTTTGTTTGTTAACTTTTTGTGATACTGGGTATTGAACCTACCACCAAGCTACATCCCCAGCACACACACACCCCTTTTAAATTTGAAACAGGTCCTTGATGAATTGCTGAGGCTGGCCTTGAATTTTTGATCCTCCTGCCTCAGCCTCTCAACTTGCTGGGCTCTGATGTCTAGTTGTTACAGAACAGGAGAAATGCTCCTTCAGTGTCAATACCTCATACATTCATCCCACAGACACATATTGAGAGGTGTGGGATGGTGTACTTCCAGAAGGGAGGGAGGTGAGATGAATTCCAGAGGCCCAGTTGCCAAACTCCTTGCTCTAACCTGTCTCTCTGCCCTACAGGTGGAAGTGCCCAAGCTGCTTCAGTAGGACCAGGCTGCCGGGCTCTGGTGCCAAGGCCATGACGGCCCTGGCTCACATCCAGGGCTGCACAGACCCTGCCCACACCACTCTGGCTGACCTTCTGTGGCTGTCCCTGTTCTGCCATGGGAGAGCTCAAGGCCTGGGCCACACTCAAGGGAGGACGCTGCATCTCCTCTCACCTTCCTTTTCTTGTCTCTGGGGCTCTCCAAAAATTGCTTTGATGCCTGGAGCTGAGGTTTCTGGACAAGAAGAGTTTTTTTTTTTTTTTTTTTTTTTTTTTTTGTGCATCATGGAGAAGATGGCACTGCCCAGGCCCTTTGTAGTTGGCACGCTTCAAAAGGCCTATGATCCAGGAAAGATGTCCCCCAGGGACCACATATCCAGCCCCACTGCCCTTCAGGGCCAGGATCCAGGCCACTGAGGAGCCCTTGGGGCAAAGCTGCTGGGCCAGTGGTACTCTGAGGGGCAATGGCAGAGGGAGCCAGGGCGTGGGAGTCCAAGGGGAGAGTAGGAGGGGCTGAGGACACGGAGGGCAGCTGGCCTGGATGGACAGTGCCCGGTGGGATTAGGCTCCAGAGGAGAGGAAAGGAACAGACCTGAAGGTTTGATGCCAAAGCAGACATTTTCCTCACACCCACCCGCTGTTGTAAAAATAGCTGTGTATCTGTTTTTCCATAAGATTTTGATAATATATACAAACCTTTAGCTGAGAGTCACTATGTCTCACCTCTGTCATATACTACAGGTCCTGATACTCACCCAGGGCTCCCAGGAAAGCTGTAGAAGCTCAGGTTCCCTGCCTCACTGTACAAGTTGACCATAAACTCAGTTTACCACCACAAAAGGATCACATGGCGGAAAGCCTAAGCTCTGGGTGCAGGAACCCCCAAAGTAGTTGTCCTGGGTGTGCTTCTGAATTAGGCTTCCTGCCTGGACTCAGTGTCCAGAGCTGGTCTCAGGGTAACACGGCAGAGCCAAGCTTGGGGCCCTAGATGGCTATATTAGGCAAGTTCAGGGGATGCTCATTCCATGACTCTTCCCAACTGTGGGCTCACAGCCAGCTCCCCACAGCAGTCATAGGCCCAGGAAGGACCATGCAGGGAGTAGCACCCACACCAGATCCCAGGGTACACTCTACCTCAGAAGGTATGAGCTGAAGCTAAGCCATTTCCCCCTATGCCTGCTGGGTTATGTTCACTAGCTAGATGCTCTGTATTTTTCCGGTTATCCTTCAACTCTGTGAGGTGGATACTCATGTTCTCTCCATTTTGCAGATAAAATTTGAGACAGAGATTAACTGTCTATGATCACACAACTAGCAAAAGGCAGAGGGCACAGGTCTTGAGCCTTCAGAGCTGCTTCTCATAACAGATCCTCCTGCTTACCCCCACCCCACTGAGGTGAGACTGGTGATGGTGCCTCAGGAAAGCACTAGAAACCTAACAGAACCAATCTCCAAATCTTCAGGCTTCAACAGAACCTGTCACCTTAGAGCCCTTTCTACCAAACTTGAACATGGTTTAGCCAGAGGAGAAGCCTATTCCCTTCCTCTGCCCTCCTGGGGGATCCTGCCGGGGCCTGGGATGATGTAATCATTTCTCTGGTGCCTCTGAACTTGATGCGGGGGCACAGCGCCATCTGGGGGTAGACAGCTTACCACGTTCTCCCGCTGCTCCTCTAGGTGCTCTGGGGACCTGGAGGAGGCTACCTGGGCCAGGAAAAGAAGAAGGGCGGATGGGACTGGGAGCCTGTCGCACCCTAGGGGACTGTTTCGGGGGCTCTGCTCGCGGTCTTGGAGGGCCAAAGGAGAGCGCAAGGCACGCAGCGGACGCGGGCACTCACGACCTGTTCTGTTGTGGGAAAGGGGACGGTACTCGCCGGGACGCATTTCTGCAGGACAAGTTCGCACCGCCGCCCACCTGCTCCGCTAGCACTGGGAGTCAGGAGTTTGCTGGCTTCACAGGGAGTCAGGGGATTGCTGGCTTTCCCTTCCTGAAACCCAGGGGGAAAGAGCCAGAGATGTTTTATCCTAATCCAGAGTATGAGCTTCAAAGAAAGCAGATAACTTGTCCAAGATGATGAAGCCGGACTCAAACCCAGGTCCCCTGACAACCAGTCCATCATGCATACATCTAGGAAAAGCCACGACTCAGTTCTGCAGAGTCAGCCTGCAATCCCCGTCGGAATACCCTGGACACCGCCGCCCGCCCCCATCAACTTCTGGCGGTTCCCCTTCCAGCTCTCCTGCTCCTCTGGCTTAGTCCTTACGGCCCCGGGTCCCATCCTGTCTGGCCTCACCCCTGCAGGAAAAGTGCCCTTCCCACCTACCTTCGGTCCCCAGGAAACTCCAGAGCCTGGCCCTAGCCAGGGACAGGCACCTGGGGCCTGCCGAGGCTCTTGCCAGACTTATTGTCACAGGAGCTCCAGAGGCTCCGGGCTCAGTCTCACTCCAGATCTCCTCCTGGCTCACTCCTCTTCAAGAAACAAAAGTTCTGGGCAAGTTTCACCCAGGATCGTGCTTTTGGAAGACCAAGACCGCCCCTCAGGGGCTGGAGTGCCATACACTGTGGTTCCCGTTGGTAGCTCTCTGCGGGAGCCTCTGAAGTCAGCCTTAAGTCGGGCCCTTGAGTGCCTCCCCGGCTGCCCCGCCTTGCCTGCGCAACTTCTCTGTCTCTGAGCTCCCGCCTCCAGCCCCCTAGATCCTCTTCCTTACCGGCTCTCCCTTCCTTCACTACCAGCCCCCTAGAAGCTCTGCCTCCCTGATCAAGTTGTTCCTTTGTGGGATTTTGTGGTTTTGTTTTCTGCAGAGCTGGTGATCATATCCAGGGCTTCATGCCACATTTTCTGTTTTATTTTATTTTTTTATACTGGGGATTGAACCCTGGGGTATGCTAGATCCACACACGGTTTGTGTAAAAAAGCTTCATCTGGGCTTCCTAGACCTGCCCATCTTAGAATGCTCAGTGTTCCCTTGCAACCTAGCAAGATCCTATTTACACTATGGGGTACCCCAATCCTTCTTGCATTTCTAGGGTGCCTGACTGGTTTTCAGGGGTGCTAGCTGAAGAACAAGGTGACGGGAAGGGACAGTGACAGCTCCTGGCTTCACTCCGCCCTACTGGGCCTTCCTTACTCCCCTGATGGTGAGCCCCAGGAGATGGAGTCAGAGATTAGCATGCTTTGGGAGAGATGAAAGAGTATTGTCCTCATTTAAAGCATCCTGGTATGTGACAGGGTCCTCTGCTCAGAGTATGTAGAAGCCACTGTCAGGGCTTTTCCTTTTTTCTTAGAATTCTTACTTTTAGTGTGTCGCAAAATTAACTATAAACTGGAGAGCTCCACACCTTCTCCCTTCCTCGACTCTAGACCACAAAATAACTGCGCAATGTCCTGGGCTGTTGACTCAAGGATAATTAATTCTGTAATTATGACCTACATAAATTACACCAATTTCTCTTGGAAACTCAGAATACTTATCAGGCACATCTTTCTTCCTCCCAGCTTTGGAACAGAGGAACCTGGGCTCCAAACCTCAATGACCTGGTCATCTTCTCTCCTGAAGTATGAAGGCAGAACCACTCTGTGGACCCAGAGCCACCCTTTGGCCCCACTCTCAGAACAAAAGCAGATTTGCAGCTGTGGCCCCAGGTCTGTCCTCACCAGCATCAGGTGCTCCTCCCTGTCTGGGTCAGATCCAGGATCCTTGACTATTTCACTGGGAACGGGGAAGCTGTGAATGCAGTGGGGGCAGAATTCTGTCTCAGCAAATCTCAGACCCTGGCCCCAAAGCACTAGTTCAGGAACTCCTGCCTTTCAGGCTGTGTGACAAGAGGTAATTCCCCAGAGTCTGTAGGTAGCAGAGGGCCTGCAGCATAGTCAGCACAAAGGCCCTATCCAGAACCCAGCTGGGCTGCAGGACCTAAGAGGTCCAATAGCCTGAGGGGCAGGGCAAGAGAGCAGGGCCTGTGGCTACACTGAGCTTCAGGAACTGGGAGGAAGGGACTGGGAAAAGGAGGGAACATTGGGTGGTGGTGGTTTTGCCAAACTGAGCTGACACTATGCCCACTTGAATTAAAAGCTGTAAGCCAGGTTTGGTGGCACACACCTGTAATACCAGGGAGGTTGAGGCAGGAGAATTTCCAGTTCAAGGCCAGTCTTGGTAACCTAGTGAGCCTGTCTCAAAATAAACTAGAAAGGACTGGGATGTAATTCAGTGGTTATGAGCTCCTGTGTTTAATTCCCAGCAAAAACAAAAACAAACAAACAAAAACCCTATAAAACTGGGATGGCCAGTTTGGTAGTACAGTACTTGCCTAGAAGGTACAAGGCCTTGGGTTCTTTTTTTTTCTATTTTGAAAAAAAAGCAAAAAAAATTATAAATTTCCCTTCTCTAGTTCTGTCACCAGAAAAGTCTTGAGAACACAAGGAGCCCCGGGGGCACAGCAATGGAAGATGGACAGCTCCAAGTACTTACTGCCCCTCCCAGGTTCCCTCTTATAAGCAGCCTTCATGGGAGAAGGAGAAATGAGGTCATATCCCTCACTGCTTGGGCTCAGTGGGGGCCCTGACATGGGCCTGGGGGCCAAAGAAGTAATCTGGTCAGGAAGGACTTCTGAGTCAGCATCTTCAAGTTTGCTGCGGGCTGTTCATTAATACTTTTTTGGGATGGGCTTTGGGCCTAGGGCTTTTCCCGGACTTCATTAACATTCCAAGAGTTGTTCAACTTTTCCCAGAATTCATTCTAAACATGGCCTCCATTTTGGATCTTACTCGATATTAGACCCAATCTACCTAACTACACTGACTACCTAACTTTAAATCTGGCTTCAATATCTTCAGGGTCCCTTGATGACCAAGCAGTTTGACAGAAGCACCCTGTACCAGCATCATCCCTCCATTTGGCTCCTAGTCCTAGGAGCTCTGATCATGAAGGAAGGACAGGACTTAGTTCCATTTACATAATATTTCACCCTTATGACAGCCATGCATTTATAGTTGAGGACACTGGGGCATGGAGACCTTCAGAGACATGCTCAAGGTTTGAGAGTGGTAGGGGTCTGAATTTGAATCTCTGTGTACATGGATCGGGGAGGCGTCTTTGCAGCTGGTAGTGTCCTGATATTCCAGAAGCCTGACCCCAGACAGGGAATCTCTGCAACGCAAGTGATACCTTCTTCAAAGCTGCCGCCAGATCCACCTCACTGGCTTTGGGACCCAGTCCAAGGAACCCTGCAGCCTGGGGTGGCTCTGCCAGGGATGGCCCAGAAGTGCTAACGGAAGGTGTGGATGGGCCCAAGGATGCCATCAACATGATTTACATCTTTACAGCTTTAATTCAATAGGCCAGAGCCCTAGCCAGTGGGGCAGCCATAGAGGAGGGCTACTACCAGCCACTGATGGAGCCTCCCATGGCCCCACCTCAGCCACCTCAGCAAACCAGAGCGTCCCCACCTTTTTTGGTTGGGATCCTGGAAGCAGAGGGACTACTTGTAAGCAGGGGCTGTGACCTAGCTTGTCATTCATCTGTCTTCCTTGCCCCTGGTAAAAACAGTCCACCAATCCCAAGCCCTCCCCATCCACCCCTCATTCATAGCTTAGAAAACTCAACTCCTGTTCCACTTCTCTGGGGCTCTGTCCTTGGTGGGGCCCAGGGTTTGGCTTGGTATGGGGCCTGGTGACTAGAAGACCTGTGCCATCCCCAGGGCTGGATGCAGGTACAGGATGGGGCATCTCCCAAAGTTGGTATCTTTGAAGGGGCAGCAGAGACATGGCTGGTTCTTCAGGCTCCTGGGTAAGAGGGCTGTGGTGGCATATAGGGGGGAGGGGCTGAAAAAACAAGAAGACAGGATGAGGGTCAGTGGGGTCATAGGAGCACAGGAAATAAATCTCTTCCCCCCAAGGCATGAGGATCCACAGGGAAGAGCTGGAGGTTTCCAGCTAGATGTGGAGGAAGTCTGGGAGAGGGAATCCTCAGTGAGAGGCCAGGGAGGTTCTGGAGAGAGCTCAGGGGCAGGTGGAGCAAGAGCTCCAGATTGTTACTTACCAGCAGGGTTGTAGATAGGGGGCCCAGCTGGGTAGAGTGGATACTGAGGAGCAGGACCACTAGGCGGGTACATGAAGCCAGGCTGTGGGGCTGCAGGGCCAGCTTTGGGGTCAGAAGGATATGGATATACTGGCTGCACTGGGATGCCTGTCATTGGGATCTCCTGCCCTAGATGGGGGACAAGGATCAACATTCAGAGTTCTACCTCCCAAGAGAAGCCTCTGATCCCTGCCCGGGAAACCAAGATAAGCACCCCACCTGTGGCCTTTACTTCCCAAACCCTGCTTAACAAAGTTGAGTTGGGGGCTGAGTGCATGGTGCTGCTGGTCAACCTGTATTTTGCAAGATGACTCCCTAAGCAGGAGTCAGAGACCTCATGAACTGGGGAGCACAGGCAGAGAAATACCCCACTTGGGCAATGATCAGTTAGCTGGGGGGGCTGGCATCTGTAGCGCCACCAAGGGTGTCTTCCTCAAGTCCTTCCCTCCCACACTAATTTCCCATATGGTGTCACTGTCCCCATGTCATTCAGGATTGGGCAAACATGCAGTCACATGCAACACTTAGACATGTATACCACTGTACACTGGAACACACCCAATTAATGCTCACCATTTATAGATTATACTCTGTGCACTTACTGAGTCACTCGCCTACATAGACCCACTGTGCACTCCCCACTGTGACAGACTGCACTTCTGTGCATAGCTGAATATTCATGTGTGTGCACAAACGTGGACACAGTCCCACATTTCCACATACCCCAGGCACATTCTAGAACTCATGAGTTTACAAGCATATTTCCAGGTTTACACGCTGCCAGGGGAATTCACACAGAAACATACACTACCACAAAATTCACCAATCCTTGACCACTCCAGTGCCCACCATGGGACTCAGCCCAGGCTACCTCATGTCCATTTTGCCCAATACTGTGCATACCTTCAAATGGACTCTGGAGTTGCTGGCGCCGTCGGTACAGGTAGCAACAGGAACAGAGGAAGCAGCAGATGGTGGTAGCAACCACAGCAACAAATAGGATCACAGCAGAGGCGATGCCTGCTATGGTCTTGGGACTTTAGACAAAGAACAGGCCTGCTCACTTTCCAACATTTGCAGGAGGAGGACAAGGCTCCAACTCCTGGCCAGCAGGGGGCTACAGCATGCTAAGATTTGGAGTTTCTTGTGGGATTCTGCCCAGTCCTTGTGGAGCATATCTTAGGGACCTCCATTTCCCAGAAGGCAATGCTGCTTGGTTGGCTAATGTGAGGCATGCTGGGATTTGTAGTGTGCCCTTCCCCCAGGACTTTTATATCTACAACTTAATTGATTAGACTTACATGTTAAGCTGTAAAAAAGGCCATAGGATATAAGCTAGGACTGTTTTTTCCCCCCTAACTGCACTTCAGACACTCTCCTTACATCTGTTTTATATATTAGCAGCCACCTTCAAAAGGAAGTTTGAAAACCACTAATTTGGAGCTGAGGAATAGCTCAGTGGTAGAGTGCTTTAGGCTCAAGGTTGGGTTTCATCTCCAGCATCACAAAAAAGAAAACCATTAATTTGGGCAATCCCCTTATTTTATGAAAAGGAAACAATGACCCATAGAGGGCAAGTGTCTTCCCCAAATCACATGGCTGGTAAGAAGCGGACCGGGAATCAAACCCAAGCCTCCAGCCCTTTTGCCAGAGCTTCCACAAAGCTGCACTGCATTCTGGTGCTAACCCCGAACAGTCGCTCCGCAGGATCCAGCAGGACCAAGAGGAGGCTCCAGAAGGAACCTGAAACACTCACCCCAGCCCAAGGCTGTGATGGTAACTAACATGCCTTTCTGGAGCTCCCACATCATGACCACCCAACTGTGTCTCCAAGCTGAAGTCCTGGTGAATCCATTGAGCTAAGAATGTGGAGGTGCACAAAGGGAGGAGGCAGGAAGCCTGTTGAGAGGATGAAGGGGATCCGGGAGAGGTGGCAGGAGCTCACCTGAAGGCCAGGCAGTGCTTCTGTTGTCTCTCGGTGATAAGCAAGGTCAGGTCCCTGCAGCAGTACCGCTGGTAGCAAGTCCCGCAGCAGAAGGTGAAGAACTCGCAGTTAAAGCCCGGATGCCAGGAGCCATTCCGGTCCAGGTACCACAGGCAGTCCTCGCTGGCCAGCGCTGCGGGCAGGGGTCGGGGCGCCGCGGGCCACCAGGCCAGTTCAACTCCGCCGTCCTTAGCCCCACGCCCCTGAGGTTTCTAGCCCTCTGGCTCCCGGTTGACTCTTGTCCCCACCTGAGGTTCCAGCTTCGGAACCCCGGGGGCCTTTCTCTAAAGCGGACCCAGGTGCCCAGGGCCAGCTGCCCAACGCCCAACTGCCGGGCGCTGTCTTCTCCCACTCGCTGGGGACCCCGCAGCATCCAGGGCGTGCAAGCCCGAGGGTCTCCTGGGAGCCCGGGTCGCGGCCCTCGGGTCGGCTCCTCCCCTTACCCTGCCTCATCCCACCCACCCGCGCCTCGCCAGCCATGCCTTACCCAGGGGAGCCCCCAGCACCAGGAGGGCGATCGCGGCGAGCGGTGCGGCCCGGCGGAGCCCCGCGGGCGGCATTGCGGAGGTTGAGCGCAGCCAGAGCCGGGCCGCCCAGAAAAGGGACCCGAGGAGGAAAAGCCAGCCGGCGGGAGCTGCGGCGGGCCCTGCCCGCGGCCAGGCCCGGGCTCCTCTCCCGCCTCCTCGGGGGCGGGCCCAGGCGCCCCGCCTGCGGTAACCCCACCCGCGCCGCTCGGCGCACAGCCCAGGCCCACCCACCAGCGACGCCCACTCAGCCCCGGCTGTAGAGTCGGGCGCCCCTCACCCTGTCCCTGGCACCGCAGTGGCTCCTCCCGTCGGAGCCACCATGGGCACAGCGGGCAGCTGGGCTCTACAGCCACGGAGGCCTGGCCTTGTCCTGGGCCCGCCCCCCGACTGGGTCCAATCATTATCCCGGAGCCTAGAAACCCTGATCCTGGTGCCACCTCCGAATGTCCAGCACTTGGGCCAACCCTGGAGGGGCAGTGCCGGACCTTCCCTTGTGCGGGACGTCCTCTGCCCTAGTGTCCAGTCCGGGACGCCCTGCGGGCGGGGGAGAGGGGAAGAGGCTGGGAGCCACCCCACCCCCGTTCTTGAACACAGGCGGTTATTGAAAGGCAGTTCAGAGAGGCTTTGTCTCCAACGGTGCCCACAAGCCTGGACACTGGCAGCTGCACTGGCTCCCTGAGATGGCCCTTCCCCCTCTGGGTGGACAGCGCTCACACCATGGCCTCACCAGCATGAATGGCAGGTCCATGGATGGGGCCTGTCAGTTAAACAGTCTTCACAGTGAAAACCCTTTTCTTCAGGGAGCAAGTCTGCAAAATCACTGCACTACCAGGAAAGTATGAGAAAGGCCACGGTTAATTACAGGTGAGGACAGTGTTCAGGGTGGGGGAAGTCAATCTCACAGCACTAGTGACTGTGCTTAGTCCTTGCAAGAGCTTCCCTGATTGGAAACTACCTATCAAACCAGGGATAGCATCAAACCTACTTAATCCTCCTCAGTATGGCCCTTCCACACTTGAACATCTAGTTTACTTCATTTGATCTTTCCACAACTCCATGAGCTAAGCCTGGTTGGTAGATGTTATTATCCATTCCATTTTATAAACAGAAAATAGGGCTAAATAAGTGAAAAGACTTTCTCCAGGTAATACAGCCAGTAAATGATAGAGGCAATATCAACACCCAAGTCTTCTAGACCAAGGTGGGTCCTTACCCTCAGTAGTAAATTGTGTAGTGTTTCTCATTTTCTGGGGTGAGGGCACCAGGCAGGTCATGGAAGGCTCAGAAGAATCTGAATAGATTAGGGAAGGCAGTTGGAAGAGGAGGGCCCATCCCTGGCCTCCATAGGTGCAGGTACATCACCTGGTAGAGATGGAATAAGAGAGAACAGCTTCCTGCCCTAGGAAGCTGCCAGCAGGCCAATGGGCTGGCATGAATATGAACTTGCGTAGACACCGTTATAATTGCAGTGGCCAGGGACAAAGAGACACGTTTTTAAATTCATTGCTACTTACACAGTGTAGCCATTGCTGTCTGTCTCCTCTTTCCTACACCAGGAGCTCCGTGAATACAGGGACCATGTGGTTATGTTCACTTATTCCCCAGTCCTTAGCCACAGGTGCTTGGTCATTGGTTGAATGACCCTCAGATGAAAGGTGTCTCTCCTGTCCAAGGTTAACTCTGCAGGTGTGCTCCTGACCCCATTTGATGTGACTCTACAATATTCCTTCTTTGGGGGTCTTTAGTTTCTCCCTCCTTACTAGCTATTTTTCCTTAGGAAAATGAAATCTCAAGTCTTTCTTTTTGAAAAATCAAAATGAAACCCCATGCTTCCTGAAACTCACCTCTAACTACCGCTTTTCTGCTTTTCTCCTTTTTCTCTCCAACTGGTCTTCCTCCAGATTGGATGGTCCTGGCTGACACTCCAGCTCATAACAACCTCTAGCTCTCACCAACATTATCAGTGACTTTCTAGCTGCAAAATTCTAGAGAATATAATTAAAAAGAACAAATAATTCTTTTTTTTTAATTGTAGGGAAAAAATTCAGTCCGTGAACTCATCCCATTGTACAGACGAGGAAACTGAATTGGAAGAAGTTAATTCTCCCAGCTCACACTGCTGTTGGACTTTCTGACTTCAAAGCTCAGGTCCTTGGGCTCCATCACCTGTCCTACTTTATTCAAGTCTCAAATGCTTAGGGTTGTGTATGTCTGAGCATGTATTCCAGGAAACTTCAATGCCCATCCTTATCCCTAGTAGGATGGGGTGAGAGGGCAGCCAGAATGTCTGGAATTGGGGAAACTAGGAAGAGGAGAAGGGCTGGGATCATACCTGTGATCCAATTTGGGCTGGCCTGGGGCTGTGCTCTGAGTTCTACCAAGTCACACCTCTCCTGGGTTGCATGACCAGTTCTGGGTCCCCCAGCTCCTTCCATGCTTCTTCTCATGGAGCCTGAGATCCAGCCTGAACTTTGCTGAGCTCTTCCTGACCATCCTTGGCCCGGGACCCTGGGGCCTCCATCCCTGAGGCTTCTGCCTCACCCTCCTATCTGGCCAGGGAGGCTCTTGTCCCACTTCTGTTGGCTGTATGTGGTTTGCATTGAGCTGCTCTGAGATAAGGAAATTCCCCTCCTCTGCTAATTCCTGCCTCTAGTCAGTTTGTGCTCTCTCCAGAAGAGCAACCAGGCTACCTTTCTTCTCCTCCTGGCTTGGCCTCTGGCAACCCAACCTTTCAGACAGGTGATACACATTTCTTCCTGCCACAGAACCCTTGGGTCCTTCTGTTTAATTTAATCTGTCACGACCTCCCTAGACAGACTTGGATATAATCTCTTTGAGTACACAGCTAGGAGAGTCCCAGGAACTTGGTCAAGGTCTATGGCTGGGGCTGGGGTTGTGGCTCAGCGGTAGAGCACTAGCCCTGTGCAAGGCCCTGGGTTCAATCCTCAGCACCACAAATAAATAAAGATCTTATGGCTGAGTTGGGGATTGAAGGTTTTCAGGCTTCCACTGCTCCAGAATAAACATTTCTCCTTAACCAGAACATTTTTTTCTGGTGTCTAATCTTTTTTATTTGTAGTTGGACACAATACCTTTATTTTATTTTTATGTGGTACTGAGGATCGAATCCAGGGCACCACACATGCTAGGTGAGCGCTCAACCGCTGAGCCACAACCCTTGCCCTGGTATCTAATCTTTCTTGCTATAAACTACTGGGTTTCTTGTGTTTGTCCTCTTGGTGGGAAGGACAGTGGCGGTCAGTCCCTGCCACCCAGCTACTGGTAAGAGGGGCCACTCTTTCCCCAGGAGTTTTTACCATGCCTTTGTAGGAGTGCCACTCTGTATGCCAACTCTGGCTTTTTTGCAGCATGCCTAGCACAGTTTGGGCAGAACTAAGGCAGCAAGACAGAAGGGGGTGGCCAGGCTGGCTTGGGTGGCATGTGTGAACAGCCCCCTTCTCAGGCAGACCCTGGTGGCTGTGGGAGCAGCAGTCCTAGGCAGCCAGAGGCTGGCCTCAGGAGTCTGGCTCAGGCGGTGGGGTGGATGGGGAAGGCCAGGTTATCTTTAAATGGTACCTTACTCAGCCTGTAGCTCTGCCAGCTGGGCAGGGTGGGGGCAGACAAATGTTATTTTGGGATCGGAGGATAAGAGAGGAAGAAGGCTGTTTACAGCTCTCCTGTCTGTCCCTACTGCCTCTCCTGGGAAGAGTGTGGGGGGCCCTAGGTCTCAATGCTCCAGCTGGCCGTTTTTACCCTAGAGCCTCTGTTTTTATGTGGTATTGTTTTAGGTGGGAACTGTTGAAATTTGCAGAGGCCCAAGGTCTTTCTTTGTCAGACCAGCTCTATAAAGACAGGCTTCCATGGTGAGAATTCTATTAGACTTGAGATTAGACTAATAGCTAAAATTACTACTTACTATGAGGCAATACTACAAAGTATTTTGTATTGTAGTGACTTTATTTAATCTTCACAATCACTCCATAAAACAGATATTAATATTATACCTGTTTTGTGGATTAGGAAGTGGAGACATAAAATTTAAATACTCCCCAAATCACCTAGCTAGTAAATGACAAAGCCAGGATTTAAACCCAGTCCAGCTACAAAGCCCAAGCTCTGAACTACTACAGGTGAGTCCTGCTTTGCCACTTCCTGGCTCTACAAGTTTGGTCAAACCACTCAACCCCTCTGGTCTTGGTCTCCTCATATGGAAATAAACTATTTCAACTGAATCTTCTAGAATCCCCAAATCAGAGTTAACAGAAGCTCTGGCCCATTCTCCCCCTGCTAAATGGAAAAGAGCTTATTCAAGGTCACATAGCAGGGCACTGGCAACTGGCCTGGCTTCTGTGCTCTTGCTAGTGAAACTCTTTGTCAGGAATGAGGAAGGGACAGATATGAGATCAGGTGTGACTTTGCAGTCACAGTCAAGTGTGGAAGAAATAATTATTTTTTGACATAGATCAGACTGATTCTATATCCTGTTACTACTAAGGGCGAAAAATCTAGACAAACCCTCTAATTTCACTTGCTTAGTTGATTTTAAAATCACTCATTTTGGAGGACACACAGGTGGGCAATACAGAGTTAGTTTTCCACTAGCTTTGCTGTAGATGACACTCCTCTGCATGTGAGTTTTGATAATGGTTGTCCAGGTTACGCTTTGTGTATTTGAATGTTTTTGCTTCACTAGGGTCTGCAGAGGTCCAAAGTAACTGGAATGGGATGAAAATGCTGGACATCTCTGTCTGCATGTTGTATCTGTCTTTTTGTTTTGCCTTAACCTTGGGTCAGATTCTGTTCAGTTCTGCATGTAGACATATTCATCACTTGAGAAATGTTTCATCCAAAACTGTAACACAGGGTTAATTTGACCTAGGCCTGCCTGGACTTTTCTGCTTCAAGGCCAAAGACACCAGCTGCTATCATGTGAAAAATCACACCATGAATGGAGTGAAAAAAAAGTGGCACCTGAGTTCCTAGAACTCTACCTCCTCCCAGAAAAGACATGAATATTCCTCCCCTTTATTAGCCTAGTCCTCTCCCTCATTATTCCTATCCTATATTGTAACCTCAACCCTCTTGGAGTTGAGAAACCGATTTGTGAGCAATTCTCCCTCTTCTTCATTCCCTCATAAAACTCTTCTTTGACCACTGAATCAAGCCTTTCCTTCTCTACACTCATCTCTTGGACACTGGTTTTTCCATGAGATGAACCTCTGAACCTGGACTTGGTAACATCACCTGTTGGGGAATTCAGTCTATTGTTACTATCATTTGCTCTCCCTTCCAGGATCCTGAGGAGGTCCTGGGGACCACCAAAATATAAAATACTGATCTGTCAAGGCCTCAGTCACACTGGTTCTGCTCATCAGCCTGCAGGCCCAGGGACAGGGGCCTTATCAGGGACTGCTGCAGCCTTCTTCCCAGTTTCCTCATCCCCAGATGTTCTGCCAGTATCAGAGCGGGGTCCTCACCACTCACAAGCCTCATAGATTTGCTCCCTTTGGTTTTCTCTCCCCATCTTCTTCCAGGCGCCTGAGCCCAATCTGAGTTCACAGGAGTTCTCACCAAGGGTCCAGAGTGTGACTACCCTGAAAAAACAGCTAAAGCAAGGAACTGAAGAACTCACATATGCTCTTGGAGTGAGTAGAGGGGAAAAAGCCCAGTGAAAGCAAATTAATACAATTATGTTTTATGTCACCAGATAACCAAAGAAAAACGGTTTGAAAGGCGGGAGCTGGGGCTTCCACATTACTGTCCTGTTCCCTATGCAGGGCTGCAGTCCCTTCCTCAGAGTCAGCCTCCCAAAGGCTCACCAAGACCCTGATTTAGCAGCAATAGCAGCTGTGAAGCTGAACTGAGTCAGTCAAATTCAGCCAGAAAGTCTGAGTCAATGCAGCTCCTAGGTCTGGGGGTGGAGGGTAGTAGGAGGGGATAACTTCTCACCATTTCAGTGCTTTTTCATCAAGTCAGCTTTAATTCTAACTATAATCCAGTGAGGTAGGTATTAATTCTTCATTTTACAGATGAAGAAACGAAGGCTTGGAGGGGATATCACCTGCTTCCATTCCCAGATACGTAATCATGCCAAGTTAAAACAACTCAAGCCTTGAAGGGACATCTTGGACCTTCTGCTCAGGCCTCATTGTTTTTCTTCCCACAATGATTTGCTACAAAATCACATATTCCACACACAGGCATGAGACCTTTTAAAATTTTACAATTTTAGGAAACTAGCACTAATGCCCTCCTTTTCTTACCTCATCAAAAAAGTAAAAAATATTGAAGCGTGAAAGATGGTTGATGTTGACCTGTACCATTTGTCAAAAAAAAGGAAAACAGTTCACAAAATTTGGAATTTTATTAACAATTACTTTTGGCTGCTTTGCTACTAGAATCCTGGCAAAGAATTGAGACCTAGTCTAAATCCCTGTGAGAATGAGAGCTTTTTCCATGAGATAGGACAGCTCTCTCAATGTCCAGCCTCTGGTTGGGTACTTCCATGGATGGGGAGGAAATGCATTTTAAGACTGCAAGGCAACTCACTCCACAGCTACCAGGTTTAAAACACTCTCCCTTATCAGTAAATAAACTCCACTGATTCTCCTTTCTATCATTTCACTAATCCATTCCTTTCACTCCAGCTCTCTAGATACAGGCTCTGGGTTCTCCCATCTGGAGCTGCTTCCAGACTCCATTCCTACCTCCCATCTCCCTCCTCTTCAACTCAAGGTTCTAAATCATCCTTCTGGTCATGTTTGGAATTACACCATTTTTGGTGTCACCTTTTCACCATCTGCCTCTCACTTGTCTTTCCAGTTTTACTTCTGGACAAGACCCCCATGAACCATATTTTATGTTTTATGCTGTCCTGTTGTGGTGCTGGGACTAGAACCCAGAGCCTTACACATGCTAGGCGAGTACTCCACCCTGTCATTCCAAAATGCGTTAACCTGTAGTTTGGTTAGTTGGTCTTCAGCCACCAACTTCTCTATCTTCCTAATTCTCCGACTTTTCTATGTCCAAGTTTTTTTTTTAATTAGTTGTAGATGGACATAATACCTTTATTTTTTATTTTTACGTGGTTCCGGGAATTGAACCCAGTACCTCACGCATGCTAGGCAAACGCCGTACCACTGAGCCACAACCCCAGCCCCAAGGTTTTTTTTTGAATCCAGAGTCTGGCACAAGTGAGGTAAGAGCTCTGCTGATTACACCCCCAGCTCTGTCCAGGCGATTTTATCTAGTTAACAAAACTAAAGGTTGCAAGACATCCCTTGCTCTTCAGCTAGCTCACAATGAACATCTATTAATGAAACTCACTGATTACTTTTTCATCACTGTTATTTATCTGCTTTTGAATTATTGGCTGTAGGTCATACTTCCCAATGACTAACTGCTTCTTTGTCAGACTTATGTTTTTCAGTCTTTTAGTGTTTTCATTTTCCCTTCTGTTTCCACCAACAGCTCAACCAACTCCTAGGAACCCCTTAGTGTCCTAGCTGCTGCTTCCCAGGCAGAAACCTGAGGCTTTTATTACTTTTAGTAATAAAATTATCCTTGATCTTCAGTTCCTCCTAACCAGGTAGTCCAGCCCTTTTCAGACTGAAAGCTAGCTCTTGCCAAAAGGCAGGATATAAAATAGGAGGTTAGAGTTCAGTTTCCTGTCACACCATTGGCCTCCAACAGAAATTCTTCTTGCTGGCACTAAACAGACTTTCCAAACTCTCTTTTTAACAGATTGGGAATATCTCTGTCCTTGTTGTAAAGATTAAATGATCTGGAAACACAAGGAAGTACCTGCACAAGGGGTTCAAAACCATCTACTCTCAACCAAAGCTGTCTGTTGGCGAGGGCTCCCTGCCAAGTGACACTAGTGCTCTTAGAACTCATTTTCCTAAGTTCAGCCATTGTCCCCCCCGCCTCCCAATCAGCCTAAGAACAGAAAGAGGGGCCTTTGCCAAGGCAGTTATTATCACTTTTGGCAATAGACATAGATTATTATTATTTTGGTACTGAGGATTGAATTCAGGGCATTTTACCATTGAATTATAACCCTAGCCCTTTTTGAAACTGGGTCTTGCTGAAGCTTCTCTCAAACCTGTGACCCTTCTACCTCAGCCTTATGAGTTGCTGGGATTATAGAAGTATGCTACCATGCATGGCTAATTTTTTAAATCATCAGGCTCAGAAGGGGTCCATCACTCTCAGTCTGTGTTGGAGCCCCAAGCCTCTCAAACCCAACAGTTCAATGTGCTGGCATGAGACCATTTTTTGGTGCCCAAATCAACAATCAACTTTGTCTTCCACCAAATCTAGATCTACCTTGAGATCAGCCACAGAGTGAGTCTCCTAGGATCACACTGATGTTTTCTGGACACCATTGGCCAGACTTGCCATTGTTTTCCATTATCAGTGACTCCCCCAACTCTAGAGGGAGCAGCAGCAGGGAGAGAATATTAGCCTCAGAATCTGGTTGGCAGCAGACAACTGTGAACACACGCCCTCAGGCTTTTCAAATATAGAAACTTAACTAAAATACCTTCCAACTCATCATGGACGCTGAACACTAGGGACATCTAGTGGCATGAAGTCATTACCAGCCACAATATCCTTAGGCTTCCATGAAAGTCCTATGGAGTAAATGCCCTACAATGGGGCTCTCCCCTTTAAGAATGGAGATGCAAACTCATTTTATATATTATTTCGTTATGACAACATCACCCTAAAGAAATATTGTGGCTTCTAAAAACGGGGCACCCAGATGCAGGCACTATCAAAAAGCAGGTGAATATTGGGCTTTACTCCCCTTCCCTTAATTTTTTTTCATCTTCATTTACTTTCTGAACCCATAACCCACTAAAGCCCAATTAAGGCATTGTTAAGGCATTGACCTTAATTTTTTTTTGGTGATGCTGGGAATGGAACCCAGGGCCTCGGGCAATTGCTGTACCACTGAGCTACATCCCAAGCCCTTTTTAACATCTGATTAAATAAGCCAGTTCTCCAAGAATTATTTTAAATTAAGTTTGACAAACAGACTAGAATGTCTAAATAGGCTCCATGCAACCCTTTTTCCTCCTCTATTTTACTTCCTTCTAAAGGGAATAGAAGGCAGAGGTGCTGAGATACCTTATACCATGCAGACTAAGTTCATTTGTAAAGATTACTTTACTGTCCTAGAAAAATACACGTTGCAAATTTGAGGGCTACAACTTAACCATTTTAAAGGATTCCTGAGGGACAAGGGATAACCTTTGAATATCATACTCTGTGGTAATGTGTGGTAGAGGCATATTAAATATAGTGGGGTCAGGTGGATTTTTTAAAAATCCTTTTTTTTCTAGTTTTTTTTTTCTAAAAAAGGAAAAACAAATTGCCATCTGGCTTATTTTGTGTGTGCATGTATATATAGGAACAGGTTGGGGGAGGGGTTGTGTCATGCAAGGAAGCAAAAACAAGATGATGACTTCCTTCAACAGAGGAGCCTCAGTGTTGCAGGAAGAAAGCAGGGAGGGAGACTGCTGGAAAGGGTGTAGATGTAGGTGCTCCTGCTTGTGCCTGCTGAGAACCAGGAGCATCAGTGGTCGAAGGCAGAGAGCTTAGTGATCTCTCAAGAGTATTCCTATTTGAACACATCAGATGTCCTATGAAAGTAGACAGGTCTGTTTCAGAATATAAATGGTAGTGACTTCCTGTGCTCCTGAGGTGGGGTAAAATAATCCATGAACACATAATCCTTCTGGGCACAAATGTTTCTGGACTGGCCAGCAGAGGACACTAGGAACAGAGGTAAGGGCAGAGTTAGGGAGAAAAATGTTCCAGATATGGGGTATCTTCATGGGAACTTTGAGAAATGTCCCTTGTTCCACTATTCCTAGGTGATGGCACTGGTGAACTTGGTCAGAGTCATTATGAGTGTCACTCTGCAGAGGCCAAGGATCAAGGGTCAGGAAACCACTCTAGGTTGAGAAGAAAGTGCATCTCAAGGCCAGTGAGTACTGCAAAATTATTTGTGGCTGGGCCAAAAAAAAAAAAGCAAACGTGGAAAGGCCATTTTTAGATGCCGATGGTCTGTAGAATCCGCCTCTCGTTGTCATTAAGGTGGCCTGAGAACATTATGTAGCACGGCTGCTGAGCAAACTGGCAAAGGAAGTCTGTGAGATATGCCTGGAGGGAAGAATAAGAGTGGTGTTACTGAGGGTCCCCAGGGTCACTCACCTACAGCAATGTAAGAACCACCACCAAGTGGGACAATGAGCGGCTGACTTTTAGATAAATGCCACCTTCTTGAGGGATGGCCTTTTATATTCTTGGATCTAGTTTAGATACTACTGCCCAGGGACAAAATTCCATAGGGAACCAAAATATTTCCATGGCTATTATCTTATGTTTCACCCCAAGGACCTTCACAACACAGACTTAAGAAGCTGGATTATAATGCCGGAATAAAATAATTGTGAAATCTCCCAGTCTCCCCAAAGCCCTTGACCACTCAGCAAGATAGAACTCTCTCTCCAGAGGCTCCCAGGAAGAATTATGAATAGATCTGAGACCATATTTCTGCTTCCATGGATTAGGAAATTGTTACTTGCAAGACCTCTTCTCTGGACACCCTCACCTGCAGATCAATCTGATAGAGAGGATCCTTCAGGGCATCGGGGTCATCTTCCTCATCATCCTCGTAGTAATCCTCCTCTGTTAGACAGCCAACATAGGGCAGGTCAGGGCAGAGGCCCATGATCAGCCCTGGGTAGTGATGCACCACTGCATGGCTGAGGCAGGAGCCCAAGGAATATTCCTTGTAGGCCTGCCTCTCCCCTTTCCCAAGTACCCCATTCTTGGCACCAGTGTGCAAAGAAAAAGATATTTACCATGGCTGTTTTCTTCTCAAACTGCTTACCATATTTACTGGTAGCAAGAATGTCAGATAAAAGTTGGCCACCTAAACCATCCTCCTCTTCCTCATCTTCCTCCTCCTGGTCCTCCCACATATCATTGGAGTCATCTGCTGGGAAATGAAAAGCAGCTAAAGCACATTCATGCATTCTCCCTTCCCAAACCCAAACAGGTCATAAAAGAGGACCCTGAGGGTTCCTCTAAGGTGGCCTGCAGTCCCCAATGGGAGAGAATCAAGGATGGACAAACCTTCCCAGTAAGTGTGAATGGAAGAACCAACTTCCAAGAAGTAAGGGTAAGACAGCTTGTCCCCTGGTTGCTCCCCATCCCCAACTTCTGAGATTTCACAAGGCAGACCTAAGAGTGTCAGCTACAGAGTAGCTCTAGCTCAATATATATTTTTTTCTTTCTAAACCAATGAGTCAATAAATCAAATTGACAATTTGTAACTTGATCTGCCAGGTAAAAGTCTCCTGGGAGTAAGGGCCTGGTGCACCTTGACTCCACTCTGCAGGAGTGGCCTGGCGTGCGGCATTGGCCTCCATGACGTTGGAGAGCTCGTTGATAATCAGCTTTAGGATCTTGACCAGCAAAGGAATATTTGTCCAGCGCTCTGGATCTGGGAAGGAAGGAAAAGGCTTCAAGTCAGACTGTTATTGGCTCACTTCTAGCAACGCCTCCATGCTCCCTACAGTGCCATTCAACACAGAGTTCACCAACACTCACCATCACTTTCTACCATCCCTAACTATACTGAGCCATCAAAGAATGACTTAAATAACTTTATTCTGCCCGGTGTTATAAAAGTTCTGAAGTTAGGAGAGATTAAGAGAGATTGAAGGAGAGAGTTTGTTAGTACTAAAGTTCTGAAGCCAAATAATTATACAGAGCACAGTACTAGAGTTCTCAGGACTTGCAAGATATCATGGTTATTATAAACCTACAGTTAAAGCAGCTCTACTTAAAAATCACTAGAGAAAACCTGGTAACAAAAACATGCTGAATATGTGTGTTGAAGTCCCAGAATGAACCTAAAAGTTGGGGATTTTTGGTAAATTACTATTTTTGTCAATTTTCAACAGAAAGGAACCATATATTCTAATCCATTGTTTGCCCATAGTTTTGTGCCTCCTCTTCTTTTTAATTTTTGGTATTAGAAATTAAACCCAGGGGTGCTTTACCACTGAGCCACATCCCCAGCACTTTGTATTTTGAGATAGGGTTTGACTAAGTTGCACAGGGACTTGCTAAGCTGCTGAGGGTAACCTCGAACTTCCAATCTTTCTGCTCAGTCTCCTAAATCACACACATAGGCATGTACCACCACACCTGGATTGACTCTTCTTTATCAAACCCGTCACTAGCAATTATGTGTGTTTTTTTTTTTTGGTAATTGTATGTGGACAGCATGCCTTTATTTATTCATTTATTTTTATGTGGTGCTGAGAATTGAACCCAGTGCCTCACATGTGCTAGGTAAGCACTCTGCCACTGAACTACAGCCCCAGCCACAATTATGTCTTAAAAATATAGATCACAGGTCAGCATGGTGGTGTACACCTATAAGCTCATGTTGAGGCAGGAGGATTACAAGTTCAAGGCCAGCATGTGCAACTGGGTAAGATCCTGTCTCAAAATAAAAAAGAGCTTGGTGGTAGAGTGCCCTTGGGTTAAATCCCCAGTATTATAAATAAAATAAACAAATGAATAAAAAGTATTCTTAGCCTCTATGGAGAGGAAATCAGAGGGATGGCAGCATCACCCACTTTTGGCTGACTTAGAGCGGGTACGGATGCCCTCATCCATGCTGTAGATCTCTTCTCCCTTCACACGGATATCCTGTAGCCGTTTGTCATCTGCATTGATGCCATGCTGGAGCAGCTTACACAGTGCCACAGAGCTGACAAAGAAGAGTAAGAAAAGATCAATCAGCCACCTATCTAGAGTTCACTCTAAGGCGACCAGTCATTATATCCTAAGACAATAAAAATTCTGTTCATAACTAATTAGGAGAGATAAAAGAGTTCAGCTAGAAACGGGATTAGAATTTATAAAATGGTCCAATGAGAGAACTGCTTTTCTTGAACAAAAACAGTGGGTAAGCATCACAATGACTATCCATGCTATACAGTCAATAGGGTAATGAGAACTAGTGGAATAAAAGTCCAGGCAAGAAAGTTGGAAAGCCAAGGTTAGAAGGCTTGGGTTATAAAGGAGAATAAGTTACTAGCAGTTCTTAGCTGGCTGAAGTCTGTGGCAGAGGAAGCTCTCTAGCCAGCAGACCTCAGAAAAATATTGTCTACCTGTGTTGACTGGGGGATTTCAAGATGGCAGCCATTCAAATATGCAAGTTAACAAGACAGAGAAAAGGGAAAACAAGGGGTAATCTGATATGTCAAACAAAAATCAATGGTGTAAGTCAGGGAAGGAAGAAATGTGAGTAGGAGAAGAATGCTCAGAGAAGATGAGGGTCTACCTGACTTTGCCTTCATACTGTCCATAGAACAGATGCTGTCGGCTTGTCCACTCAGCCATCACAAACTCTAGGGCAGGTTTTCCAGTAGGTCCTGGGAGACTACAGAGGAACTCCAAGAGAGGTTCCAGCTGAGTGTGCACCAGATGAGCGAATACCATGATCAGAGACTAGGATATAACAAGAAGGACATCTGCTTCAGAAAAACTGATTTCACAGAGACAGGAGATGGAATAGTCCATCAAGAAATAATCTATGCACTGCAGGGACCACCCACAAGGCAAGAGAACATGAAGATTTTCTTTTTCATATTTCTTTGGCTATAAGAGATCTAACCTTACTTCTTTCTTGTTCTACAAGGATAGCAAGAGGGTAAAACAGTTCAGGGCCCACATAATAATTTGTATCTCCAGAGGATGGGAAAGACTAGTTCTCCACTGTCCTTACCTGCATGACACTGAGTGTCTCTGCCTGCTGCATCTTACTGAGGATGGCACGAAGAATCTGATCCAGATTTTCCCCAAGCTCCCGCCCTGCCTTGGAAATGAGGGTGGAGACAAGGCGGCCCACAAAGGCTGCAGTGAACTCTGAGGTGCGGGGGTCTAGGAGCTGGCTCACCACTTGCATCACATACCACAGTCCATTGTGGCCTTGTTCATCATGCCACTGGGCTACCTGCTCCAGCGTCACTGACACATAGGCCCGCAAGCACTCTCCACCATTCTGGGGAGATAGAAGTAACAAGCAAGATTAGCAACTGGGGAAGAGATGACAGAAGCTCTCAATTTGTATGAGCAAGTATTACTCTGAGGTCTATGCCTTATAACAGTCGTGAGACTACAGGGTTTGTGGTGGGCTCATTCCACTAGAGTCAGGAATTTACTGTTATAGATAAAAATTTTCCCTTTACCCATTCAGTTATCTAAAAATGCATTTTTTCTTTTTCCTGTGGTACCAGGGGTGTTCTCCCATAAAGCTACATCCCAAGACCTTTTAATTTTTCATTTGAACAGGGTCTTGTCTAAGTTGTTAAGGCTGTCCTTGAATTTGTCATCTTCCTGCCTTAGTCTCCCGAGTAGCTGGGATTACAGATGTGCGACGCTACTAAGACTCAAAATGCATTTCTTTTTGACCACAAGGGATAATGACCAAGCAAACTGAGTTTTAACTATTAAGATCTACCTCTGGTACTGGAAAAATTATTTCTGAGATATAGCAATAATTAGATGTCTTGAAAGTCTTTATAGGAATACAGACAGACCTTACATATAATCTCCAAGCTGATGAATATCCACTGGTAAGTTCTATAATCTTTATAATCAACTTTAGTAGTAAAGACAAGAAAAAGTAACCAACTAACCCAAGAAACACAGAAGAATATTTAGGCTTTCCTCACCTCTCCAGAGGCCTACAATTTTGCTAACTTCATCAAAAAAAGAAAAAGACTTTCTTTTCTTGTTTTTGGTGGTACTGGAGATTGACTCTAGGGGTACTCTAGCAACTGAGCCACATCTCCAGACCTTTTTATTTTGAAACAGGGTCTTGCTAATTTGCTGAGGCTGACTTCAAACTTGTAATTCTCCTGCTTCAGTCTCTCAAGTCTCTGAGATTACAGGTGTATACCACCATACCCAGCTCAGATTTTCTTAATGGCCCCAGATTTAGATGTCTGTAATCTCTTGTATAGTAGTAATACTCAGATGCAGATGGCCAGAATGCCTGGTTTCTAAACTCTTTAGGGTTATAACACATCCCAAAGTACAGTTTGTTAGTCTTTTGTAGCTTGAATCCTTTCTGCATCCTCTGGGTAAATATGAAATTGACAAACCTGTATTTTACTTTATTTTTTTTTTTTAGTTATAGATGGACACAATATCTTTGTTTGCTTATTTTTATGTGGTGCTGAGGATCGAACCCAATGTCTCACATGTGTGAGGCAAGTGCTCTGCCACTGAGCCACAACCCCAGCCCACAAACCTGTATTTTAAAAGCATGAAAGCATGTCAGATTTCTCAGCTTACTATAAGCCAATGGAAGGAAGCTACCATTCTTCTAATCTCCATTTCTCAGATACCTGCATGGTGGCATTATCATCTGTGTGCAGGGTACACTGTGCTACAGCAGGGAAAGCTTGGCAGATGAGAAGCTGGGAAAGTGGAGGCTTTGTATTCCGAACTACTGTTGTCAGGATATCAATGGCTGTCTGAAGGGGAGAAAAGAGAAGAATGAGAATTGCCTCTAAGGTGGGAGGTACCCAATAATCAACTACTTACTGGGTGGATACAACAGAGCAACCCAGAGAAAACTCATTAATGAAACCAAGTTTCCAAAAAAAAAAAGAACATCAGTAGACAGTACTCTCAGCCTCCTTATGATGGCTCATTACTTTATTAGATGTAGGAGGTGGGACACACAGCAGTGGACTGGACTGCCAGGTGACATACTTAATGGTGCTGTGTAATAGTGGCACTCTAATCAATTAACCAAGAGTACCTCTGCAATAAGAGCCATTTTCTTTTCTTTTCTTTTTTTTTTTAATATTTATTTCTTAGTTTTCGGCAGACATAACATCTTTGTTTGTATGTGGTGCTGAGGATCGAACCCGGGCTGCACGCATGCTAGGCGAGCGTGCTACCGCTTGAGCCACATCCCCAGCCCCAACAGCCATTTTCTTAAAGCCTCAGATAAAAACACACTGACCTTAGAGACAGAGCAGACCAGTAAAATTACCCCATGAATCTCCGATGCTATTACTAGTTTCCTGTTAACTATGTGGGATCTGTGGATGGCACTTGCAGATCTGTCTTGTTCTCTTTCTCAAATACACAGGCCTTGTAGCTACTTACCGCACAGAGACCTGCAGGGATCTTGTCTGCTGGGGCCTGCATTATGCTGACCAGAGTGGGAATTAGCCGCATCTGCATTGGGCCCTGACAGGCTTCAATCTGAGACAGCTCCTTGAAGATGTCCTGAGCCAGTGAGGCGACAACAGGATCTAAAGTGGATAAGGCAATATGGAATCCCCTGCCTGATGGTCTGCATCTGCTTTTGGCTTTAATGATGTCTATGTTTTGCCCTAATCTATGTTAACTTCTGCACTGATTACATATCACATACCTGGGACCTAATGGGGACAGACGAATAATCTCAAAGAACAGGAGAGATGCTAAATCTCCAAGAGGCAGGGTATGCATGTTTTCATTAGGACAAGGACTAGTCATTAACAGCTACTCCTAAAACAAAATCTGGCTTTTTTCCTGGAGTAAATCTTAAAGGGTTTGTTGTTCTTGTGAAACCTGGGCTGATTGTAAAACCAAATGCTAAAAAAAAAAAAAAAAAAAAAAAGCCCCACTGATACTTAGTTAGGACGACATGAAAATTTTAAAAACAGCTCAGTGTCTTCCCCCCAGGTTCTCATGTACTGAGGAGAAAACAACCCAAAGCTTTTTGAAAAAATGGAACGTTTGTAGTTCAATCTACTTTACCTATAAGTAAAAATATTTCCCTCAACCTAGGCTGCAAAAATATATGTAGTATATGTTAAAAATCATAACAGCATTATTTGTAATAGAAAAGAATTGGGAATAATCTAACTGTCCATTAACAAAATGGGTGAAAAAATTATCATATAGCCATTTTGTGAAATTCTATGTGATGACTAAAAAGAATGAGATATATTCAAGCATGCAAAATGGAAAGCTCTTTGGGACATAGCTTTAAGTGAAAAAGCAAACCAAAGAATATGATTACTATGGTATCATATAAGTAATTCTTATGCCTGTACATTTTTCTGAGCATCAATATTAGAGCTCTCTATTTTAGTTGCACTAGGGACTGAGCTTAGGGGCACTTTATCACTGAACTACATCCTTAGTTCTTTTTGTTATTTTTTAAAAATTGTGAGATGGGGCCTGGCTAAATTGCTAAGGTTGACCTCACAGTTGGGATCCTCCTCTTGAGTCACTGAGATTACAGGTGTATGCCACTTCACCCATCAGGAGATTCCTCTTTAAAACCAAGTATCTTTAATACTTTTCAAATAATAAAGTATTAATATACATATCCACTATAAAAAGCTTAAAATGAAGAAAAGTATTAAAGAAAAGAAAAACCTATACTGCTATCTACCTAATCACCATTAACATTTTGAGGCATTTTTTTCTACACACTTATCTATATTCATATCCTTATTGGAAACAAAACTGAAATTTGAGGTCATATATTTTTTGGGGGGAGGGGCTCCAGGGATTGAACTCAGGGGCACTCAAGCACTGAGCCACATCCCTATCCCTGTTTTGTATTGTGTTAGAGACAAGGTCTCATTGAATTGCTTAGCATCTTGCTGCTGCTGAGGCTGGACCGAACTCACGATCCACCCTGAGCTGCTGGGATTCCAGGTGTGTGCCACTGTGCCTGGCTTGGGGTCATATTTTATGAATTTTTTTGGGATGACTATCTTTTCACTTATTAATATGTAAACATTTTCTCATGGTTTTGAATCAGTATGATGCTTGATTTTAATGGTTTTATAGTATTTCATTTTACGGATATAATTAAACTTCTGTTATTTCCAGCATTTGACTAGGATAAAAAACATTTGGTGAACAACTGTGTTCATAGACTTCTGTATGTTTCTTTCTTCAGCATCTCCTTTTCTAAATTACAGTTCAGGCCTCTTATAGAAAATTTTCATTTATTTGTTCAACTTCCTACTCTGTTATCCAAGTTCTGAATTATGCCTCCTGCCTATGAGTCTTTTATTCACTATCTTTGTTCCCCCAGTTCTTATCAGAGGAGAGTAAACAATACAGGAATAAGTAGTCTTTTTTTCTTGGGTGTGTGTGTGTCAAATATTGAACCCAAGGGTGCTTAACTAATAAGCCACATCCCAATCCATTTTTCACTTAGAAATAGGGTCTAACTAAATTGCTTAGGGCCTCACTAAGTTGCTGGCTTTTAACTTGCAATTCTCCTGCATCAGCCTTGGGCCACTGGGGAAGTATTTTTAATGCTGCTCTATCTACAGCATAATTCTATTCTTTGCTAATTGAAAGCTTTGCTTACAATTCTTAAGACCATCAGACCTAGGGAAACTTAATCTAGATTTACCAGCCACCACGATTTTTTTAGTGCCTCTCATCAACATATCATCCCTGATTGCATACCATTACTGTACTTTAGGAAAATGGCGATGGTGAAGGGGCAGATTTTGCTTTCCATGCTTGCTGTGAATTCTGGGTCTACAGTACAAACGATGCATAGTGTCTCCATCACCAGGTTGAGAACCTCTGAGCTGAACTGGGCTGCTAGGTGAATTAAGCCATCAAGGATGCTGGGGAGGAAGGGCTGAAGCACGTGGGTACTCTCTGAAACTTTCAGTTGGTCACAATAACTAGAGAGAGATAGATAAGCAAGAATTACAAGCAAATTCCCCAATTACTGGTTTTTCCAATCTTCTTCTCCAATTAAATGTTATGGCATTTATATTATGGCATTATGTTAGGGTTATACATATATAAATTATATATATATATAGCATTACAAGGCTACTTTTATTTTTTATTTTTTTCCCTTACATTTAAAAAAAATTATTTATTTATTTTTATTCTTCCCTTTCATTTTCAATAACAGTACAAATATACACATGGTTAAAAAATGCATAAAGTACAGAAAGATCTAAAACAAAGTAAATATCCTTTCCCTATAACATGACAGATCTGATGTCTTCAAAATCCTTTAGGAGTCATATGAGTAACACACCAACTAAGTCTTTTCAGGCCTTTGGAACTGTGTTGATTGTCTCCTATAACACCTCTGCTACAGAGGAAACATGCATTCTTCTCCTTCATAAAGAAAGTTTAAAGGGCAACAGTCACACACCGCTCAGAGACAACAAAATCCAGGTAGCACCTCAGACACCACTGGATCTAGTTGTAGCTCCAGAGAGTCCCAGGTAACATCCAGAGACAGTGCTGCAGGAGTTCAGCCAAGTCCTTCCTCCATGCCGCGGATCCTCCTGGCCAGCTGCACATCCTTGGGGAAAAGAGTGACTCGGCCAGCATGTAAGGAGAGGAGGTAGGCATCCTCAAAGAGGTGAACTAAAAATGCTTCTGCTGCCTCTTGAAGGGCCAACAGGGCCTGGGCTTGCCAACTGAAGTCCACACTACGTGTGAATTTCATACATATTTCTCTTGCCAGGCGGCTGAAGGGGTACTTCCTTATCAAGAGGTCTGTGCTCTTCTATAGATTTTTGATCTCCTTAATCCAGCCAATTCTCCTCCGACTATGTTGATGAGAGGAAGAACCTAAGGAGGCTTCCCGCCGCGGGGTCCTGCGAGGTGGACTCGCGCTGCGCCTCTTCGGGGTCTCTGGCTTGCGGCGTCGGCGGCGAGGGCCCATCGCGGGCCACAAAGGGTCCCGGCTCCCGGTCGCCCCACGGCTCCTGTTCGGCCTTCGGGTCCCGAAGCTGAAGGCTGGTTACCAACAGAAGACGAGAGAGCGCCTGGGCGGAGGGCCCACAAGGCTACTTTTATAGTTAGGTATGTTTTTACATCTCTGTGCTTATTATATAAATATCAGCACTATTATTTCCATGGTTGTTGACAATTTTTTTTTCTTTTGGTGATGGGGATTGAACTCAGGTCATCAACATACTAAATATAGTTGCATATTTATTTCTGCTTTGACCTTTGCTATTTCCTTTTTTTTTGTAGTAATGAAAAATTGAACTAGAAGTGGACTACCATTGAGCCACAACCTCAGCCTGTTTTATCTTTTGAGTTGGGATCTCACTAAAATTCTCAGAGTGGCTTTGAACTTGTGATCCTCTTGTCTCAGCCTCTTCTCTTTTGTTTTGAAGTAAATCAGCCAATCATTAAATCCAAATTGTTAACATATTAAATTAAATGCTTTATGATTCCTTAAAATACTATTTTTTTTAGATTATTATTATTTTTTTTGGTTAGACACATACCTTTATTTATTTATTTTTATGTGGTGCTGCAGATCAAACCCAGGGCCTGGCACATGCTAGGCGAGCACTCTACCGCTGGGCCACAACCCCAGACCCTAGACTACTACTTTAATCACAATCCTAAGACTTGAATATACATTCCCATTATATTCCAAATATAGTGTTTCTTAAAGTATTTTTAAAATTTATTTGTTCTAATTAGTTATACATGGCAGCAGAATGCATTTTATTTCATTGTAAACAAAGGAGGCACAACTTTTCATTTCTCTGGTTGCACACGATATGAAGTTGTACCATTTGTGCAAATATACATTTACCTAGGGTAATAATATCCTTCTCATTCCATCATCTTTCCTACCCCACTCCCCACTCTCCCCTTTGCCCAATCAAAAGTTCCTCCATTTTTCCCATGCCCCCTCTCCGCATTATGGATCAACGTCCACTTATTGGCCTTTGTATTTTTGGGATTGGCTTACTTTGCTTAATAGCTCCATCCATTACCTGCAAATGCCATAATTTTATTCTCTTTTAATGCTGAGTAATATTCCATTGTGTATATATAACACAGTTTTTTAATCTATTCATCTATTAGCTATTGTTAATTGAGCTGCTATAAACATTGATGTGGCTGTGTCACTATAGTATGCTGATTTTAAGTCCTTTGGGTACAGACCAAGGAGTTGGATAGCTGGGTCAAACGGTGGTTCCATTCCGAGTTTTCTAAGTAATCTCCACACTGCTTTCCAGAGTGGGTGTGCCACCAGCAATGAGTGTACCTTTTCCTCCACATCCTTGCCAGCACTTATTGTTGCTTGTATTCTTGATAATTGTGATTCTGACTGGAGTGGGATGAAATCATAGAGTAGTTTTCATTTGCATTTCTCTAATTACTAGAGACGTTGAACATTTTTTCATACATTTGTTGATTGATTATATATCTTCTTCTGAGAAGTGTCTGTTCAGTTCCTTAGCCCATTTGTTAATTGGGTTACTTGTATATTTATTTATTATCTTTTGGGTGTTTTTTGAGTTCTTTATAATATCCTTGAAATTAGCGCTCTATCTGATGTGCATGTAGTAAAGATGTTCTCCCACTCTGTGGGCTCTCTCTTCACGTTACCAATCATTTCCTTTGCTGAGAAATAGTTTTTTAGTTTGAATCCACCCTATTTATTGATTCTTAATTTTACTTCTTGTGCTTTAGGAGTCTGTTAAGGAAGTCATGTCCTAAAATAATGAAGATTTGGGTCTACTTATTCTTCTATCAGTCGCAGGGTCTCTGTTCACTAGAGGTTTAATTTCATTTTTCTACATGTGGATTTCCAGTTTTCCTAGTACCATTTATTGAACAGGCAATCTTTTCACCAATGTATGTTTTTGGTGCCTTTGTCTAGTATGAGATAACTGTATTTATGTGGGTTTATCTCTGTCTTCTATTCTGTACCATTGGTCGACATGTCTATACTGGTGCCACTACCATGCTGTTTTTGTTACTATAGCTTTGTAGTATAGTTTAAGGTCTGGTATTGTGATGTCTCCTGCTTTACTCTTCTTGCTTTGGCTATTCTGGGTCTCTTCTTTTTCCAAATGATTTTTAGGATTGCTTTTTCTATTTCTATGACAAATATAGTTGGGATTTTAATTGGAATTGCATTAAATCTGTATAACCTTTTGGTAGTATGGCCATTTTGACAATGTTAATTCTTCCTATCCAAGAACATGAGATCATGTTGTCAGCACAAATAGTGATAGTTTCAGTTCTTTTCCTATTCATATCCCTTTAATTTCCTTCGTCTAATTGCTCTGGCTAGAGTTTCAAGGACTATGTTGAACAGGAGTGATGAAAGAGGGAATCCTTGTATTATTCCAGTTCTTAGAGGAAATGCCTCCAATTTTCCTCCATTTAGAATGATGTTGGCTTTGGGCTTAGCAATAGATAGCTTTTACAATGTTGAGGTATATTCCTATTATCCCTAGTTTTTCTAGTATTTTGAACATGAAAGGGTGTTGTATTTTGTCAAATGCTTTTTTTGCATCTACTAAGATGATCATATGATTTTTATCTTTGAGTCTACTACTGTGATGAATTATGTTTATTGACAAAATACAAGGGTGTTTGTTGTATTTTGTCAAATGCTTTTTTTTGCATCTACTGAGATGAGATGATCATGATTTTTATCTTTAAGTCTACTACTGTGATGAATTACGTTTATTGATTTCTGTGTGTTAAACCAACCTTGCATCCCTGGAATGAACCCCACTTGATCATGGTGAACTATCTTTTTAATATGTTTTTGTAAGTTATTTACCAGAATTTTAGTGAGAATTTTTACATCTATGTTCATCAGGGATATTGTTCTGAAGTTTTCTTTCCTTGATGCATCTTCGTCTGGGTGATACTAGCTTCATAGAATGAGTTTGGAAGGGTTCCTTTTCTATTTCATGGAATAATTTGAGGAGTATTGGTGTTAATTCTTATTTGAAGGTCTTGTAGAATTTGTCTCAGAATCTATCTGGTCCTGGGCTTTTCTTGGTTAGTAGGCTTTTGATGGCTTCTTCTATTTCATTGCTCAAAATTGATCTGTTTAAATTGTGTATGTCCCCTGATTCAGTTTGAGCAGATCATGTCTCTAGAAACTTGTCAGTGTCATTGAGATTTTCTACTTTATTGGAGTATAAACTTTCAAAAATTTATACTTCAATAAAGTAGTTTCTAATTATCTTCTGCATTTCAATAGTATTTGTCATGATATATCCTTTTTCATCATAAATTTTAGTAATTTGAGTCTTCTCTCTCCTTTTTGTTAGGGTGGCTAAGGGTTTATTGATTTTATTTATTTTTCTAAAGAACCAGCTTTCTGTTCTGTCAATTTTAAAAAAAACATTAATTTTTTTCATTGTAGTTGGACACATTACCTTTATTTCACTTATTTATTTTTAAGTGCTGCTGAGGATCGAAACCAGGGTCTCTCACTTTATGTGGTGCTGAGGCGAGGGCTCTACCACTGAGCCACAACTCCAGCCCTATTTTGTCAATTGTTTCAATTTCCTTAATTGCAACCTTGATTTTAATTATTTTCGGTCTTCTACTCCTTTTGGTGTTGATTTTTTTCTAGGGCTTTGAGGTGTAATGCCAGGTCATTTATTTGTTGACTTTTTATTCTTTTTAATGAATGAGCTCAATGCAATGAACTTTCCTTAGCACTGCCTTCATAGTGTCCCAGAGATTTGAGTATGCTGTACTGGAGTTCTCATTTACCTCTAGGAATTTTTTTTATCTCCTCCCTGATTCTTCTGCTATCCATGAGTCATTTGATAGAGTATTATTTAGTCTCCAGACGCTGGAGTAGCTTCTGTATTTTACTTTATCATTGATTTCTAATTTCATTTCATTATGGTCTGATAGAATGCAGGGTAGTATCTCTCTCTCTCTCTTTTTGTATTTGCTAAGAGTTGCTTTGTGGCATAAGATATGGTTTATTTTAGAGAAGGATCCATGTGCTGCTGAGAAAAAAGTGTATTCACTCATTGATGGATGGGATATTCTGTCTATGCCTGTTAAGTTTAAATTATTGATTGTATTATTAAGTTCTATAGTTTCTTTGTTTAGTTTAGTTTGAAAGCTCTATCCAGAGGCGAAAAAAGTATGTTAAAGTCACCCACAGGGGGGGCTGGGGTTGTGGCTCAGTGGTGTAGCACTTGCCTAGCACATGTGAGACACGGGGGTCAATCCTCAGCACCACATAAATAAACAAACAAATAAATAAAGGTATTGTGTCCATCTGCAATTAAAAAAATACTTAAAAACAAAGTTACCCAGGATTATTGTGCTGTGGTCTATTTGATTCTTGAAATTTAGAAGGGTTTATTTGATATATACAGATGCTTCACTGTTTCAGGAATAAATATTTATAACTGTTATGTCTTGTTTATGTATGATTCCCTAAGTACTATGAAATGTCCTTCTTTATTCCTTCTAACTTTGGTTTGAAGTCCACTTTATCTGAGGATGGAAACTCCTGCTTCTTTACGTTGTCCGTATGAGTGGTATTTTCCCCATCCTTTCACCTTCAGTCTGTGGATGTCTTTTCCTCTGAGTATCTTGAAGGCAGCATATTGTTGGGTCTTTTTTATTTTTATTTTTTAAATCCAATTTGCCAGTCTATAACTTTTAATTGATGAGTTTAGGCCATTAACATTCAGGGTTATTATTGAAATATGGTTTGTATTCCTGGTCATTTTGGTTTGTTTTTGGTTTTTTTTACCTGACTTGGTTTCACCTTTGATTGGCTTTTCCTTTAGTGTATTTCTTCCCTTTGCTTATCTTCATTGTTGTTTTTCATTTCCTCCTCATAGAATATTTTGCTGAGAATATTCTATAGTGCAAGCTTTCTAGTTGGTAAATTCTTTTAACTTTTGCTTATCATGGAAGGTTTTTATTCCATCATCAAATCTGAAGCTTAATTTTGC